ACAACAAAGTGTACACTACGTAGTGCACACTACGAAGTGTACACTACGAAGTGCGCACTACGAAGTGTACACTACGAAGTGCGCACTACGAAGTGTACACTACGAAGTGCGCACTTCATAGTGTACACTACATACTCTAATCCAACTGTAACGGATCTTGGGATCGGTTCGCAAAACCGTTTGAGTCGCCAACTGAGTGAATTAGTACATTTTAAAAACATGACCGTGCTGCATACATATAACAAAACATATGTACAACTTTTATTTTGAATAATAAAACACCTGTACATGTTACATTTTAAAACTCATTTGATAAATGTACACAAACATTTTTGTACAAGTTTGAAAAATAAAACACACGTATACATGTTACATTTTAAAACCCTTGTGCAACTTTGAAAATAAAAAACTTCATTTTACATTAACAAAATCTCCTTTGATAAAAAGCCTACAAAATTTTTACAACTTTGTTTTTGTAAAATAAAAGCCACGTTCATATTAGATTTCAAAACTGATTCGCAAAATGAATGCATAAAACTTTGTACGAACACGCTTGCGCTGCATACACGTAACAAAACGTTTTTGTATAACTCGTCTGGAAAATAAAATTTTAAAAAACATTTTAAAACATCTGTACATCTTTGAAAAACTTTCATGTTACATTTTAAAACATCTGTACATCTTACTTTGAAAAAACTTTCGTTACATTAACAAATTCATTCGATGAAATATTTTTAAAGACGTACAGCACCCTTCTGCGATGCTGCTAGTTTTACATTTCAGTACCCAAAAGGCAGTTTCCCCACTAGTCAACAATCTGCGTTTGTCGTAGACATCCCTGACATTTTTATCGAGGTCTATTAAACAGGTGAAACGTTTTCACGTCGCGTTTGATTTTGTTATAGTGCGTCATTATAGGGAATTATCCAGCTGCCTTTCATTTAACACGCTTAACCTTCGGCCTATGTTAGCTTTCTGTTCCTGTCTCTTATGTTAGACGGGTCGGTGCAAAGCCGTGTCTTACATCAGCCATAAGATACCCTCAAAACAATTATTTATCATCCAATTTGTTTCTTACCTCTTGGTTACCTTGTTAGGCTTCCTTATCCATGAAAAGAATTGTTTTAATATTTTTCGTTTGGCTTTCTGGACCTTTCTTTTGTCAGCATTCCTCTCGTTTTCAATAAAAAAAAAATAATGGTAAAATAAACCTTGAGTGAATTATATACATAAACTGAACTAGTCTTATCTTACCGTACATGTATGGGCATGCCTTACCTTGATTTTGTTTTAATTTATTTAGTTTAGATAGAGATTCCTGACAAAGTCAAAAAGCTTTGATGCAGTATATATTTAGAAAAAAGGCGTCTTGGGGGGTGCTATATAGAACTATAGGGGTTCTAACCATATTAAATAGAACCATTGCCTTCAAAAAGGTGCTATTTCTTTTAATTGAACCCCCTATAATGGTTCTATATAGAACCTTTGAGGGTGTCATATATGTATCAAGCTATAGAACCCTTAAAGGTTCAATATGGAGCCTTTTGTTTTAAGAGTATGCATAAATATATGTGCTGCTTTTATGCATTTTTAAACTTAAAAACAGGTCGGTGCCGACCCTAACAGCACAGGAAGGTTAACTCATATTTGTACTTATGTGCAGATGATACGCTTGACCCGGGATGACCTACCGTGGTGTAAATAACGGCTGTATCAGAAAAGCCAAAACTTCAAACAAAAAAAAAACATGTTATATATTGTAAGACAAAATGTCCAATTTGATGTGTGGCCCAATTACAGTTAGCCCAGGGGGTGACCTACGGCTGTAACGGCTGTATCAGAAAAACCCAAACTTCAAACAAGAAAAAAAGGGGGGACACCCTCACTCCCTACCACTTTCACAGACACACGGCCAAACTGCTGCTGTTGGATTAGCTCCAACTTTCTCATTTTCACAGTTTCTTTCAGACTCGCATAACACAGGGATAAGCTCCAACATCGCTCTCACAATCTCCGAGTCCTTTACACAATGTCCAAAGTCCTTATCCGCAACATTTACACGCTCCAGACCGACCGGGACCTTCCCACAGTACCGCACCACAGGCAGACCCAGCGTACGCTCACACTCCATCAGGTAACCAACCTGCTCAGCTCCGCGCTCAGCTCCGCGCTCAACACCGTTACCCATCACCCTCATAGCACGGGGCTATTCCGACAAATCACACTCATAAGCACACAATTCACTGAAACTTCATTTCAATCTCCAAACTAGTCAAAATAAAATAAATAATTAAATAAAATGTAAAAAATAATAATAATTAAACAATTAATAATAATGAAAATTAATAAACATAAATAAATAATTTTATAAATAATGATAAAAATAAATAAATAATTTTAAAAAACCAACCTTCTCCCAAAATATGCAAATAATTAACAACGTCACTAGTTGTGACGTCACCTGGCTCCACCCCAACCCCACCCCCCCAGTGAACTCTTGACCCGTAACCTTTTGACCTTTAGGTCATAAATCTTTTTGAAAGAAGCGGCATTATCCATCTCTCTTGCATCTGACTGATTGCATTTGAACTGAGGCGCGTAATAAATAATGATACTGTTCTGTGAGGATGTGCTGTTTTCTCTTTTTTTCCCCAACCCATCGAGACCGCTATGTCCTAGACCAAGAAAAGACAGAGACTAAATAGAGTCGAGACCAAGACAAGACTGAGACCAAATAGAGTCGAGACCAAGACAAGACCGAGACCACAAAAAATTGGTCTTGAGACTGGTCTCGAGACCAAGACCGATCTCGAGAACTACAGCACTAGTTTACAGTATATGCATTTGCATATATGAGCCAGGTTTGACAACTCATTTCTCAGGATTATCCCATAAGGTACAAACATATCTGATACCCCCTGAAAGGCAAGGGCCTAGGCTATATCTGTTGTACATTCATTTTAAAGATGTTTATGTACGGGGCTGATACCGTAATGACATGTCTATACGCGCACCTCACATTTTAAGCGCGGATGATTTGATCGTGTTTCGGCGAAGCGCGGATAGCTTGACCGTAGTGAATTTCCGATGCATATTTCCAATGCATAAATATTCAATGTTAGAATTTCAGTGGCATATAAAATTCAAATTGTGATGACACAGATTTACTTCCATAGAAGTCTACGAGTGCAAAAGTGACGAATGTAAGTGAGGAACAAAAGGATGAACGTAAAAGTGATGACAAGCGCAGAAGGAACATGAAAAATAAATCCGAAATCGCGGGGGATGCTTTTGGATGTTGAATAGCCAAAGATCAGTTTTAAAAACGTTTTGAAATAATTTTAAAAAATCGATTCGTTCAGACTTAGGAATCGGTTCAACCCATTCACTAAAAAAACAGAGTTAAAAAACGATTCGTTCGCGAATCGGCCATCACTAGTTTCTGGCAGAACCTGCACCCCATGGACCAGCCAGCTCTGTTATTTAAGCTAAGTGCTTCTTGCAGCCTCAGTTCGCCATTGAGTCTCTACCCACATATTTCTGTGCATCAGTGGGCTCTACGCCTGTTCCTTGCCTTGTTTTGTTTGTTATGAGTCTATCCTGTGTTGTAACTCTGCTGGGAATGACATCAACAAGACACTTTCTGGGTACAAACCTGCGCCATCTGAGCGGCTGTGTCACCCCGAGCCCCCAAGTACACCATGGCCAGGGCGGAAGAAAGGCTGAACGGTGAAAAGATGACATTGCCTTTGTTACCGTTAATAATCTTCGTAAAGAGATCCAGCGAGAAGCGGGTGTTTGCGGCAGTCAGAGACTCCATTTCGAGTGTACTGGAATGACATGTTTCAGAGCAGATAATCACTGTTGGTTTAATGTATTTACTGATACATGTTAAATTAGCAATACAGTTATCTTGCGTGCGTATATAATTAAATTAACGCTACTCTCATGAAAAGGCAACGGAATTGCTTGGTATAGTCTTTTTTTACAGAACAATGGATCCTGATTCTGTATGGTCTTGCATGTTATATTGCACACGAATTTCAAACTATAGTCATGCCAGTAGAAATGTTGGATTCGAATCTTTAATACTTACTCTTTAGATACGCTGGATTCGAAGTTACAAAAGACTTCAAAACTTACTGTTTAGCCAGCGGTGATGAAGTTCCGTTTTCGACTCTGGTCGGTGCGCATTAATCTGTACTCTCTTCCGGTAGATGTTGATAGACGCAATGCCGCTTTTACGGGAAACGAAAATGTTAGTCGTGTCGTGGGAAGAAAAGCGCAAAATCCGACTTTTCATCTAAATACAGATAAAAATCACCAAGGTCATATTCCGTTATATAAAGAATTGTGCCCTTTCAGCTCTTACGTGAACTTAAAATCAACATTGCTAGGTTAAGGTAAATTACTGCAGTCGACTATTTTCATTATTATTACGCAAACCAGTTTTAAGACTTTTGAGCATTTCAAAGTTTTACTTATATGCCTATTACTTCAATAAAAAACACGTTGTCTGGACCCCTGAAAATCTTCCCCTTTATTCCCAATTATGGGCAGCCCTGTTTGGTATTCCTGCATATCCATCCACAGTCTTTACTGCTGCGAAAACTGGGAACCTGAAGGAAACCTCACGGCAATGTAGAACATTCAATTCTCAAATTGAAACATTCAAAAAGAATATATTTGATTTTTCAGTATCGATCTGCACAACTTAATCAGATTTTGTTACTTGCAGATGAAGGTTGCATTAAGTGAGGCAGAAGGTCAGTGTGTTGTGTTTTACCTCCTTGTGAGTTGTGCGAAAGAAAATGAAAACTTACTCATACCCTGACAGTCTAACCGAGGCACAGCAGCAGGCACGCACAGACTTCACTGGTGGGTCTTTAGATCTTCTAGCTGTGCGCCCACTTTGGTGGGGGTAGGCAATGTGCAACCTTTCCCCAGAGGGAATGATTTTAATGTCACTTTTCTTTGCCATGCTGGTCTCTATGTACATAGTGTCCCAAACATAGCAATAATTTAATTGGTCTGGCTCAAGAGACACTAGGGTCCTGCAACCAGCTCAACCCCCAAACCAAAGAAACACAGGCCTTAGTTTCAAGCAATGTCCTCAGTGTCATCAAAGGCTTACTTTGTCTCAGGAGTTCATGATGTGTATCATCTAAAATATAAAATGGCTCTAGTCTCAGGAATGTTCCTCAGCATATGAGACACAGGACAGAGTATATGCCAGTCTTGCTGGCTAAGGGTAAGGCCTGTGAGAGGACACAAGGTCACATGTGGGTATATGCTGGGAAGAAACCTTCAGTTTGGCAAGTAGGGCCAGGTGGTGACTTATTGTAGAGGTTTATACTAGTAGGTAAGCAATGTAGTATTTCTCACATCCAAATACATATACAACAGATACCAAAGGTCTACAACACATTTAATGAACATTTTAACTTCCGTTACTTTGAATGAGAAATCACACAAGATGTTTTTAAACAATTCCCAATATAAGTGCAGACTTGATATTTGCTATATATTTCACAGCTGAAGATTAGCTTGGATT